GTGCCGCGAAAACAAAAAACAACTTAGCACTTTTTAGCACCCCCAAAATAGTTTGTGCTCCCTGTAGCAGTTATGCTGTATACCTGAACGAAATATAATCATTGGTGAAAAAATGTATTTGTGGATTGTTGTTCAAGGACATACATATGCACATACAGTGCCGAACAGAAGTATTGGTATAGTGAATTTTTCGCAATATATGCAAAGTTATTTATTCTAATTTATCTTCGATAGTTTTTTATAAAAATATTGTTCATTCTACTCCAGAAAACATAATAATAAAATCTCTAAACTTTGTGCATAACTCAGGAAAATTCATTAAATTTGCACACTAATTTGCAACTTTTTATTCAGATTTAAAAAAAAAAATTCTAAGTATGCAGTTTTATAGCCCATTCTAATTTAGTATAACAGAGTGCAATTTTGAAGTCGCTAGAAAATCGCATTGATTTTTGGTAATTTTTTTTCAGGCAAGTTCTTCCATACAAAGTAATTCGACAATTATTTTTTGTATGGAGAAAATGAGCAACACCTTCCACTAAAAAAATTGCCAAAAATCAACGCGATTTTCTAGCAACTTTAAACTTGCACTTTGTTATACCAAATTTGAATGGGCTATAGAACTGCACACTTAGAATTTTTCTAAAAAATCTGAATAAAAAGTTGCAAATTAGTGTGCAAATTTAATGAATTTTCCTGAGTTTTGCACAAAGTTTAGAGTTTTTATTATTACGTTTTCTGATGTAGAATGAACTATATTTTTATAAAAAATTATCGAAACTAAATTAGAATAAAAACTTTTGCATATATGGCGAAAAATTCACTGTGCCAATACTTTTGTTCGTCACTGTATATACATATATTTCGTCCAAGAATGATAGAATACAAGATTGCGCCGATTGCAGCAGAATTCGTGAGAGTAATTTTGGCGTGACGTCACCGTAGAGTTGACAACTGAGTGCGTCAAATAAAACTGCTGTCTAGTGATGCGCTGAGTTGTCGGTACCCAATACTTAAAAAAGGTTTCGGTACACAATACTTCCTTATCGGTACCCGATACTGATTCTTTACATTAAACCTTCGCCATTATATGCATTTCAAGTTTAGAAAAAACTTTCCTTACTAATTTATATGATATCGGCTAAAACACTTGAACTTATCGCAACAGAGAAATATTATTTTATCAGTTTTAACCCTAGTCGATCCAAGGTTCAAGAAAACTACTTTCAGTCAAAAATATTTCATATCATACGTCAACAAAACCGATACCGATTCGAAAGTTGTCGTTAACTGGTTACAGAATTTCTCGCTAACTGGTTAAGCTTGATATACAGTGCAATACGAGCGTGAGCGTGAACGTTCGCAAAAGCAAAGAATTTCATTTGTATTCTTATGGACGCTCACACACATCTGTCAAAACTTGTCGTTCACATGCGAATGCATTGCTTACGCACACAGTTGAGTGTGAGCTTGAAAAAGGCATATTATGTATTTTAAATTAGTTTTTATTCTATAATTCTGAAAGATATTTGAATTCTCTATTGCAAAAAGTTCAGTAATAACGAAGATATTGGTCAAAATAAAAAGCTCACGCTCACGCTCGCATTGAACTGTATATCAAGCTTTGCAGAATCTGTCGCTAACTGGTTACAGAATCTGCCTACAAAAATGATATCGTCCGATTCAGCTGGAACAAAAATGCTTCAAACAAGTAAGAGTTTCTCTGTATTACGGACTCGAACCGACATATATACAGCCTTCATTTGAATCAGTATTAAAAGTTCTATTGGCTCCTACATTCGGGTTTTCATAGGCGAGTCTCCCCTGAACCGTTTTTCCCATATTTTTGGCCTATGTGCGCTTTTATTCGAAACCTAAATGTTTCGGTACCGAGTATTGAGAGTATTGGATACTTAAAAGTATTGACTCAGCACATGCGTATGCAAAGAATAAAGGCCCGTCCACATACATACGCACAACTTTGGCGTTGCATTGGTGTTGGCGTCGTTTCAACAGCTGACTATGAATACATGAATTTCAATACAGCCGTGCACATAGCCAAAATTTGGCAACGCTTATGGTCTGATTATGCATACTTCGCATAACTCCGCACAACTTCGCATAAACTTCGAACTGTAATTTCGTAGGTACTTTGTATGTATTCCATTACCCAGAAATTAGCAGAACTTTTAAAAACTTAGCGATCTGTTGAGTTTAGATTTTGCTTCACATTTTCTTATGTTAGTTTAGTGCACTGGTACAAATGGTTGTGCGAAGTTATGCGAAGTATGCATAATCAGACCCTTACGCCAACACAAAGCAGAAAGGTAGAAAACTCTCAACTTTTCGTGTGCGTTGCTCGTCAGCTTTTGCAAGTACATAAATAAAATTATGTGTAATAATTTTCGCTTTTAATCAAATGAGGGCAAGAAATATCGTTTCCATCCAATTATTGATATGAAATATTAATTTACATTTACATAATACATTTGTATACTAATTTGCAGCTTCCTATTCAGAGTTTTTCGAAAAATTCTAAAAATGCAGTTTTATAGCCCATTCAATTTTAATATAACAAAGTTCTCGGGTTTTGCACAACGTTTAGAGATTTTATTTTTATACATTTTTGTGTAGAATGAACTATGTTTTTATAAAAAAATTGGATGAAAATCTTTGCATATATTGCGGATAATTTTCTGCGCCAATAAGTTTCTACGTCACTCTATGTGGAGTATAAGTATTTATTTTATCTTTAAATACAACAAATTAGTTCCTTTGTTTTCTGAACATTATAGATATTTGTTCAATAAATATTATATAAATACTTTTTTACTGAAATCTACCTGTGTTTATTATTGACTCTGTCACATGAAAACAAATTAACCGGTGAGGGCACGCTGGTTGCAGATGCACTTCACCAAAATAAGTCCGGAAGCGCTCGTTGTATTGCGCGACAGCCTTCAAGTAAAAATAACGGGTTTGAACGTTGCGATCCATTTTTTTTCTCAACAGAATATTTTAGAGTAAAATTTTGCATATATGTTTTTTTCTGTGTGAAAAAGTGGTGCAGAAGACTATTACTTTTATATTTTTACCAACAATTTTATAAACATTTACCCTTTAAAATTCGCAGTAAGGCTAAGAGGGGTGGGCTTCAAGTTCACCTCGAGCTATAGGCACTCCAGAATTCTAAGAGACTTCGGGTTCCTACCGACTCGGACAGACCACTGCACGCCGGTTCTGGGTCCGAATGGATCTTTTACCACCCACATTCCGGCGAGGGAAGACTGGGAGGGGTGCTGTATCTTGAACCGAGGACCTGTAAACTTATTTACAAATGGGTTGTCTGCGAAGAGCTCTCCTTCAACCTGAAATTTACGCTACCGGATCACTGTAGTGTTTTCCAGGCTGAGGTGGCCGCAATAAAAGAGGCTTCGGATTGGTTGCTCCCTAGTGTAACATCTGTTAAAGAGGTAAATATCTATTCTGATAGCCAGGCTGCCATCAAGGCTCTTGGCTCCCTGACAGTGCGTTCGAAAACGGTGAGGGAGTGACTTCCCTGTCGACCGCGTCTAACTATTTTGCTATTAAGCTTATTTGGGTTCCAGGTCACAGCGAAATCGCTGGCAACTGCATGGCTGATGAGCTAGCAAGACAGGGAACCCTCGAGGAATTACTTTCGGATAGGGAGGGTCTGGGGGATCCTCTGACCTCGTGTGGTCTGCTTATGGACAGATGGGCGTTTAGTCAGCTCAGCGAGCGCTGGGCGAACACCTTGGAGTGCAGGGTGGCAAAGTCTTTCTGGCCACGGATGGACCGGGGGCGGTCTAGGGAGCTCTTGAGACTAAGCAAGCTGCATCTCTCACTATTGGTGGAAGTGCTTACTGGTCACTGTGTGATTGGTAACCATGCGGTAAGGCTGAGTGTCGCGGATAACCCTTACTGCACCAGCTGCATGGAGGACGATGAGGTGGAATCATCTCAACATCTGCAGCTCTGGTGCCCTGCCATTGCGAGCCTAAGGTTCAAGCACCTTGGGTCGCACTTTTTTCACACTCCCGATGAGCTCTCGGGTGTGGACATCAGTCGACTGAAGAGCTTCGTTGTGAGCACGGAGCGTTTCTCTCGCAAAAAGCCATAGGTGTCGTCTTTCTTTCTCCCATAGCTTCCCCCTCTTTCCCCCTACCCTCCCTGCGTCCCTCTGACTCATATAGATATATTTAACGCCTTTTCATTTTTGAATTTAAATTTCTTAAAAGTCAACACGCAAATAAAATCTGTAAAAACATTTAAGGTAAAAAGGCCTTTAGGTTGAAGTTACTGCTGAGTAGCACTGTTTTCAGCACAAAAAACCCAAAAACTCGATTTTCTTAAAAACCTCTAAAACATAGTAGAAAAGAAATTCACAAGAAAGTTTCAAGTGCCAAGACCTTTGGGTTGAACTTGGTTCCGACCCACCGTGACTAGTAAGATTCTTAAATTTTTATATTTTTATTATGTATTTAGTAAGATACATTTGTGAACATTTTGCAGCCACTTTGTATGACCTACGACAAAATGTGGTAAAAATTTGTACTAAATTATGGATACCTTTTACTTAGTATCTCGGAAACTAAACGAGATATCCAAAAACGCAATTTGAAAGATCTTGATTAGTTTTGTATGACTGCATTATTAACTCAATTTGTACTCAATTTCCGATACAATTTTAGTCAATAAACCTGTATGCAATTCTTTACGAGTACCTCCAAAAACTAAATAATTTACGGACTTGAAATCAATAATTTACATCACATGACATAGTTTAAATAGCGTAGTATTTTTTATTTATCCAAAACAAAAGGTACTTATTAATTTATTAAATGTGTCGTTTAAACTATCGTGTCTGTGTTTGTGATATTTATATAGTTTTCTTTTCCATCCGACATTCTTCCTTTTGCAAACATACCATAATAATAAACGAGTGTTTAAATTCATGTTAACTAATTTGATACGCGTAGGTACTGAAGATGGCCGAGCCCCAACAAAGAACATGCACGCTCCACCACCACCAACAGATGGAATCAAATCCGAATCCGATGGTAATCATGTGCAACAGGCGTCATCACCTGCTGAATCTGGCCATAAAAAGGAAAAGTCTGTGCTTCAAGCGAAATTAACCAAACTGGCTATCCAAATCGGTTATGCTGGTTCTACAATAGCCGTTTTGACTGTAATTATATTGGTCATACAGTTTTGCATCAAGACCTTTGTTATTGAAGAAAAGCCATGGAAAAATATTTATGCAAACAATTTGGTCAAACACTTAATTATTGGTGTGACCGTATTAGTAGTAGCAGTTCCAGAAGGTTTGCCGCTTGCTGTGACATTGTCGTTGGCCTATTCTGTAAAGGTAGGGTTGTTTACTTCTGGCCTTTGCCAAAGGAAAAATTTAACTGATTTAAATTGGTTTTTTATTTTGTTTTAGAAAATGATGAAAGACAACAATTTGGTGCGGCATTTGGATGCTTGTGAAACTATGGGTAATGCCACTGCCATTTGCTCAGATAAGACTGGTACACTAACAACAAATCGAATGACTGTCGTACAATCCTACATCTGTGAAAAATTATGCAAAGTACTCCCAACGTTAAACGATATACCACAACATGTAGGCAACTTAATAACCATGGGTATATCAGTGAATTCTGCTTATACCTCCAACATTATGGTGAGTTTCGTCAAAGCAACGTCTTCACTATTACACAGCACACACAAAAACTGGATTCACCCGCATCATAACGTAGTGCAGGTTTCCCTGAACCTTCCATTTTTATAAAAAAGAAAAACGTCATTTTCGTACCTAATGCACCCATCTATATATTGCTTGACTATCTTTTATCCGATTTTAAAAATGAAATATGGGTGTTTCCATGAAAATGCCAAATAAAAACAACTGAAAAGGGTTTTAAAGGCGAATTAATAAGAGAAAAATACTCGAGTTTTTATATTATAGAAGTATTTCAGCTTCTTGGAATTTTAAAACTCAAAAATGGAAGAGTAAAACTGAATGTCTGTTCGACTCAGTTTTCTCTAATGAAATGAACTATTTTCTCTTTCCTATTAACTAAATTAAGAGATTTGAAACATTACAATTACATCTTAAAATCAAATTTGCAATAACAACTAACTATAAAAATGAGAAAAAGGAGAAGTAAGACCTCGAATAACGGTAGTTTTTTGATTTGCTTCTGATAGTATTCTAATGTCGCGTACGTTATGCAAAAACATTGTTTGTCTATGTCATTTATATATTGGCAGTCGCAGGTAATGCAGATTACAATTCTTAAGCGAGAATTCTTCCAGTTAAAGATATACAGTAAAATTTTCTTTCCAACCGAAGTAAAAAAAAATTTTATTACCCTTTAAAGTTTGTCGCATACGTTATTGTAAGTACGAAAATTTCAATCAAATACATCAAAACCAATGTTAATTGCAAATTTTCCATTTAAATTATTTAGAATAGTTGTAAAACAATGAAACGGTGGCGAGAAGAGTTCTCAATAAATACATTTTGTTACTTACGAGAAAAATTGTCGCGTACGTTATGTCGCGTACGTTATTGTTTTTTTTTGTTTTAATATAAACCTAGCCAGAGATAATTTCTCTTAAAATATGAAAGGATTGTAAAGGTACATTATTTAGCTTAGCTTAGGAATTTTTAAAGAAAAGAATAACTCCCATGATTCGCAGACTTTCGCATATGTATATGCGTGTTTCAATTCAATTTCAATTCAATTCAATGAAAATGTAAACCGAAAATGCAAGCAAATGAATTCAAACGGCTTTATAACTTTAAATTTCGTATTCAGATGGCGGAAAAAGGTTTTGAAACCGCGAAACGGTGGAGAAAAGAACTGAAAAAATTTTATTTAGTATGTGTTACTAGTGAAAATATTGTATGGGGGAAAAATCTGTCGCGTACGTTATTATATTTTTTTTTTATAAAAACTAGCCAGAGATAATTTCTATGAAAAAATGGAAGGATTGTAAAGGTACATTACTTAGCTTAGTTTAGGAATTTTTAAAGAAAAGAAAAACTCGCATGATTCGCAGACTTTCGCATATATGTATATGTGCCTTAAAACCACTTCTTTTTTTGTCGCGTACGTTATCACCTGGTTTGGAACGGATATTTTCCACACCAAAGTTTCGAGGCTGCTTATATTTTTCTCAAACATAGTACCCTTTGGTTGCAACATAACCGTAATCTTTTTTTTTCAGTAACTTCTATTTTTGATAGATTTACGTTACTCTATAAGCGTAAATGTCGCGTACGGCTGTATGGAAACACCCATATGTTTTTGAAGAAGGATTAACTTATGTAAGATTGTTCCGCGTTTTCATCAGGTGAACAGATAAAACCCAATTTTTTCAACTTTAGCCATCGTTTATTACAAACATTATTCAATGAAAGCTGTCAAATGATAAGACAAACCTACATATTGTCGAAGCAAGTTTTTCATAAATATTTATGTGTTAAAATTTCAGATCGTGTACGCAGTGTGGCTAAAGAATTCCTAAATATTTACACAAAATTTATATTTACAAAGGCTCTTAGAAGAAATTTGTTTTTTTATAAAATTTTTGGAAATCTGGCGTGACACCACCCTTTTTTTTATAAAAGATTTGTATCTCGAAAACTACATCAGCATCTGTAATAAATGTGTTATTCTCATTTCGCTTGGCCTTAATAATAATAATAATAATAATTACCCTCCATTTCCGCCCACCCGCACGAGGGGCGCAGTCCGCATGACGTACGGAACCAATATTTTCAATTTTTTGAGCCAAGTCACGGTAGGCAGGAGTTTGTTAAGTGTCGAGATCTAAAACTGTTCAGCTACAAAACTAAATTCATCAGCTGATTTTTCGTCCAATTCTGTGTTTTCTTGATAAATTTTTTGTAAAGAAATTTTATCAAGATTTTTATTAAGTAAAAGCTCCCTTCGCATTCTGTGTCAATATTTATAAAACAAAATGCTCTACGATTTCGACATGAGTGGAACTGATTTGCACATGAGTCGAACTGATTTCATTGTCACAATGAAAAATTTTTTTAGGTAAAGATGTCGACTATAATTCCGTCTGTCGCTGGTTCAAATGCCGGCACATGGAGTATTTAATTGTTAGCAACAAATTTATTAATATATAAAATTTATACATTTCACGTGAAATTTTAATTTGTCAATAGCATTTTCAATCTTGATAATTTATCAAGAAAAGAGCTTTTCATTTCTGTGCTAGAATACCAATTCTTGATAAATAATAAAAAATTGACAAATTATAAAGATTTTCAATTTATCAAGTGCACAGAATCGGGCTGTATGTCTTTATGTTAATGATTCATTTATTGAGAGAGGAGAGTATCGCTTTCTTAATGCTGAAAAGCGAATCACATATATCAAATGTGCGGGAATGAGAGTTAAAATCCTGGCATAAGCAACGGAGTGGCTCGTGTATTTCAAAATTAGTTTTACAAGTTTTCAAAAATAGGGGATAAAAGCGTCTTGATACATGGGAGGGAACATTAAGGCTAACTTCACCCAGAAGAAGCGGACTTGAAACTGAACCTGTCAGTAATTTAACTATAAAAATTGTACCAAGCATTTCCCTGCGACTGACAACTGTAGGAAGATTAAAAAGTTTTAATCGGCTCGTATAAGGCGAGAGGTTATATTGAGAGTCCCAACGGAAATTTCTTAAAGCAAAAAGCAGGAATTGTGTTTGAATTGATTCTATCTTGTCTGAGTAAATTTGATACATTGGATTCCACACCACCGAACCGTATTCCAGAATCGGTCTTACTAATGTAGTAAACAGGGTTTTAGTGATATAACGGTCACTAAATTCTTTTGACCATCGTTTCACAAATGGAAGTACACCTTTAGCCTTGTTGACTGTCACATTAATGTGAACATTAAAATTAAGTTTCGCTTCCATTGTGATACAAGGTCGACAAAATTGTATACCTGTTCCAAATTATGGTTATCTATTGTATAAGAAAGTGGCTGCACAGCTCTTCGCGAGAAGCACATTATTTTACATTTTTCCAGATTTAGAGGCATTCGATTTACATAGCACCAATTAGCCATGCTGTTTAAATCTGCTTCTAGCAAATGCTTTTCTTTGATTAATACGTACGATTTATAAAGTTTCACATCATCTGCGTACATAAAAAATTTTGAAAATGTTATATCTGTAGAAATGTCGTTTTTAAAATGCTAGAACAGAAT